AAGCATTTCCGAAACGGAAAACTACTCAGAAAACCACAAAGGTTTAAATTAAGACTGATTAGTTTCAATTTAGTCTTTTAAACCAACGAAATCTAGGTTTTAAATACGATGTTTCGTAGAATATTTTGAAATTTAGCAAATTCTGCAATGATGAAATTGCTAGACGAAATTAATTAATTCTAATTATTTGCAGTTTGCAGGTCAATGCCCCCTGAGGATCTCGGGTAAATGACTCAGCAATTTTTTTAATTAGCTAGGGGATTTCCCTTTGTACCACGTGCTTTTACGAACAAAAACGTGTTTTTTTTTGCAGTTGAGAAAATCATCATTATTCGTTGTATGTAGTCATAATAGATTAAGTATATTCTTAATCTGTGATATAGTCGTCATGTATATCAGATCAAGCCACGGAAACCATCAATATATTGTACTTGCATATTGGGTTTATATTCCAAGTGCTTGGTCATTTGGGATTAAGTATTCGTTTCCTTCAATTTCCTGTTATTTCCTGTATTGGCTATGATTGATGGCGGGTCTTGGAACACGAGCGGAGATAGAGAGCCCAGTTTCCACTTTGCAGTCGCAACCAAGTCATAGTCACTAAGGCTGGATCAATCTTGTCTTTTGCGGACTGTAGTAAAGCAAGGAGAACTATGACATTTCCAGTGAAGGCCCAATTTGTTCAGAAGTTAATAGTAGTGAAGGGCATTTGCTTGAAACGTCAAAATTCTCCTTTTTTTCAGGTAGTTGTATCCCTATCAATCTGAAGAAGAATCCCAGACTGCATTGTGTAAACAGTCTTCTACTTTATTTTATTTTATTTTATTTTATTTTATTAGCTTTATTGGACATAGAAATTCTAGATTACAAGGTGAACATCCAATAGGGGTAGTGCAAACGGGAAAACGAGACCCATGCAAGGCACAACCCCTAAATAAAAGTATGACTAGAAAACAAAAAGGAAAAAAAAGATTTATTTACAGTAAATATATACATTCTTATTAAATTTCTTACAATGACAATTCCATCTGTTTCTATTATTAAGTAACTTATGCTGTAATTAATTGTAATTAAGTTCTGTATTAATCTTGTCAACCAAGCATGTCATCTTATGTTTTTCCAAAATTGCCACAAACCTAGCTACAGTGTTTTCAGTTTCCACTGCCCATCTTTGAATTAATTGATTAGTTTTGTCTTCCACTATTCTAATTGTCTTAACATCTTTAACAGTTAAGTCCAGCCAGCCAGCCAGGTCCGTCCAGCCTATTCCAGCTGTACCAGCATCAAATGTTCCACATATTTCGTTATATATTTGGGAAGAAAGATCATCAAACCTTGTAAGATGTGGATCATTAACTTGAAGATAATTTGGGGTGACTGCAGCAGGTGCTCTTTGTGGAATCAATGTTTCTGGCAGTCCATCTTGCAATACTGTTTCTGGTGGTTTGTCTTGCATCCCTGGTCCTGATGGCATTGCTACAATAACATATAAGTTACAGATTCCAAACTTTTTCATTTTAAAAATATTGGAAATATCAATACATAACTGACATTTACCTAGCACATTGTTCGTGGGTGTATAGCCCATGACTGTACCACTGACATCATTTCCTACATTGTTTGATTGGCTTGGATCAACTAAATGTATTGGAAATTAAATTCTTTTGTTAGACTTGAATCAAATTACAAGAATATATCACAAATTCAATATCAGAACAGTTGATGAATGATGAAGATACCAAATCCTCCTGTTGTTTCCTGATGGGGTCCATCTGATGTAAGTAAATCATTATGCTGACATTCTTCTACATTTAAGCAAAATAAACATGTCAAGAAAGCTCAAAGAGCATATAATGAACTTTAAAGTTGGGGGGGGGGTCATGGGGACTTGCGGTGTTACAGAGTTGGGCTATTTTTAGTGTGGTGATATGGTGACTAAGGCTCCAAAATTGCAGTGTTGTGGTGACAAAAAAAAGGTGCAGTGTGTGGTGATTGTGCGTTTTACCTTACGGTGATACGGTGAGATGATATTATTTCTGTATAGTTTTGGTTAGTTTTCGGTTAAATCCGCATGTTTTTTTTCAGGGGTTTTTTAATCCACATATTTTTTTGGCCTAACAACGACCTAACTCACAATCTATAATCTAATAACAGAAGTCAAAAAACCTTATGGAACGCGCCATGCCATGACATGTTTTTAACCGTATTTCTTTCATGTGATGATTACAATTTTTTTTGCGGTGATGCGGTGTCCTCGAACGCATTTGTATGGTGTTGCGGGGCCCCCAATGACACCCCCCTAATCTGAAGGGAATTAACACATACAATAAAAATGAACTGACCTTGCTGGCTCAATGGTTCTGTTACGTCATCCTTGATTTCATCCAATGATGTTGAGCTAGTATTCGCTGAATCATTCTTCTCTGTATCTGAGAAGACATTACCTTGCATCTTACTAAAATTTACAGCTTCTCGTTTCTCGACTTCTGCATCAGGTTTGTCCAACATTTCTGTAGAGCTGCCTGGCGATTCCTCGTCATTTTTATCTTTGGGGAATATTATAGAATAATCTTAGACCGTTTTCATTTTTAATCACAACACTGGTCTACTAGGATTACTAGCAGGTTGCCTGTCTACAGATGTTACTCTCGGTGAAGCGCACAAGAGAACGTCTGTGAGTTGGATGAAGATTCCTTGTTTTGGTCACGTGGATTTTCCCCAGATTTGTGGAAAGGCCTCTGATTGGAGAGTACTTTATTTGAATAATATATGACAAATGAAGATATTTCATTAGTTTAAATTGATAATTAGCATGCATTTTAAATTCAGAAATTTCCTCAAGAATCAAGATTTCCTTCGGGGCATACAAAAGTTTGAAAGACTTGAAATATAATCTGAAAAACGATACACCAGAAATATATTGCATATATATATATATATACAATGCTGAACGATGATCATATAGCTGGCAAGTCCGGTGTACAAGCTCAGTTCTTACTTCGATCTTAGTATACATATGGCATAAATTTGTTTACAAAGACAAAGTGTTTATAAACACAACTGGTTATTCAAAAGGTGCATTTTAAAGTAATTAAAAGTTAACTGGCCAAGTTAAGACAAAGTTACACATTAAAGAAAATGCTTTATCACAGGGGGTCTGGACATATAAACAGATTGTCAATTTATTAAATTGTCAATTTCTGTCTGATACTTTGTTGTATTTAGTATATATTTGCCAGCATTGTTCGCCGAGTGTCCAAACACTAGAATTTTATCTTGATTTTCTTAAACTTCGATACAGCACAAAATTAAATGCAACATATTATATTTCAAGTTTAAAACTTTTGTATGCCCCGAAGGAAATCTTGATTCTTGAGGAAATCTCTGAATTATTGTGTTGTTATTTAATTTAAATGCATGCTAATTATCAACTAACCAATGAAATATCTTCATTTGTCATATATTATTCAAATAAAGCACTGTCCAATCAGAGGCCTTTCCCCTAATGTGGGGAAAATGCATGTGACCATGCAGAACAAGGAATCTTCATCCACAACTCACAGACATTCTCTCACGAGCTTCATTGAGAGTATTACATCTGTACACATGCAGGCAATAGCAGGTCTCTACTTACTGAAGTGTTTTATAAATTCAGGATACAATTGACTAATTAATGGCTGCTTATAAACAATGCTATAAACCTACCTCCTTGCTCTGTATTCCTCGACTTATACCAACGTACACTTAATATGACTATCACAATAACAAGGACAAATATCACAGCACAGACAATGCCAGCAATAGCACCAGGAGCCAGCTTAGATTCTTTAATATATGTTTGGTTTTCTAATATCACAAGATTTGTTGTATTGCGGGTTGTTGTACGACTTGTTGGGGAATTATTGCTTGTTGTCTTTGTTGCCAGAGTTTTTGTTTCGTTCTGCCGTGCCAAATTATCTTCACATACAGTTCCCTCATTATTCATACTGTAGCCTTCTTCACATTTATCAGTGCAGCGAGACTTGTCATTCTTATCAGTACATGTCCCCTCAACAACTTGGTGATCAAAACATTTCTTGTGATGACAATCTTGACATGCTTTGACATCTTTCTTTGGAGAGTATGTACCATTCTTGCATGGGTCACAATCCCCGACTGAAACACTGGCACCAATAATTTTCCCGCATGGTACCCTTGGTTCATAACCTGGATAGCAAACTCTGCAAGCAGTGCATTTCATAACTTTTCCATTTGATTCTACAGTGTAGTGTGTTGTATCATCACATTCTAATGCAGTAGTCATGGCAACCGAGATGAAAATTGCTCCCTACCAAAGTAGAAAAACAAAAGTTTTGATTTCATCATTTAATTCTGTGGTCAAAACATTAAAAATTGTAGAAATGTACTGCAGTTTAACCCAGATAATCTTACTCATCAAGGGATGGTGTGGAAATGTCTCTTGCAAGTCGTGCTCCCATCCCCTGAACCTTGTTATTTTATTCTGCCACACTGTTTTACTTATCTAATCAAGGGAAAGTGCTTAGAATAGACGAGTTCATTAATTTAACCATTTTATATCGAAAATTTTTCAATAGTTGACGTCGGGGGTTGACAAAACGTGGACCCCCCCTTCTGGACCCCCTTCTGGATCCCTTTCTGGACCCCATTCTGGACCCCTTTCTGGAAACATGCAAATTAAGAAAACATGCAAATTAAGAAAACATTACATAGGCAGCTGTAAGCAGTCCGTCCCCAACCCGCATTTCTTGAGATGGCTTCGGCAGTGACCCATAATTTGGCCACAAGCCAATATTTGTTGACATTTTTGCTGTAAATGCAGCGGGGTAAATTTGCCGATTTATAGCAACCCGACACTACATTGACAATGTCATTACACAGTATTTTACAAGGTCACAAAAACAACATGCAGTTTACTGAAAGTGCTTATCCCTATTCAAAAGAACATGAAACAAGAAAACTATTGCAGTAAGACATTTTTAATTGGATAACTATGTTGCCCAGCAATGCCCTAATGTACAAGATTATGACTAAAATTATCAGGATTGAGGATTCAGAAAGTCGAAAAAAGCTAAATGAATTTAATCGATCATCGTTAGCTATCATTATAGAATAGGGTCCAGATTGGGGTCCAGATTGGGGTCCACTGAGAATGGGGTCCAGATTGGGATCCAGATTAGGGGTCCACGTTTTGTCAACCCCCGTTGACGTCCAAAGGTCAATTACATTAAAAAAACAACACAGCAAGTTTTGCAACGAAATGCAAAGCACTCGTGACATGTGTATATATCATTTTATATGTCCGAGTAGGTTTTTGTACACGAAATGCAAACAGAGCAATTATATAATTTCGCCTACCTCAAAATTCCGCAACAGTCTGTTTCATCTGTAAAGAATCATCAGGTGGTATCTGTATATGATTCTTTACAGATGAAATAGACTGTTGTGGAATTTTGAGGTAAGCGAAATTCTATAATTTTATATGTATATATAATTTTATATGTATATACAAGCGCCCTGTTTCCATGCGAAGAATGATCTCGAGCGTCGGAAATGACGTTCAGGGTTCACAGACTATCATGACTCAGCCACAAG